GTGTCCAGGCAGTGTACTGCATGTCAAAATGCGTTTTTTATATATTACAAATATATAAAAATATGAAAAATATTTTTAAAAATATTCTTCAGATTTGTTTTAACATATAAAAAAGTCATTTTTACATATATTTGTAAATGCGTTCCAAAAATGTAGATTTGTATTTTTAAAAATATTTTTCATAGATTTTGTAATAAAAACTAATTTCAACATGCAGTATATATATATATATTTATGGAAATATATTGAATACAGCAAACATTGTAGCATTTCAAATATATTTTTCTTCCATGTGGGCCAATCACAACGGTCACATGATCCGAGTCTTGACTCCGCCTCCCAGCATTTAAAAGCACTTAAAAGGGTCAGGAGGCGTCGGCGGGAGGGGATTGCAGAGAACCACAACCACGTTATGTCACATGGGGGGGGGGCTTTTAGTCCTGACCTTTGACCTTGACCCTGACACTAAACCAGGTATTTTTTCTTTATTTTTTAATGATTTATCTTTTTTTTTTTTTTTACAAACATTTTTTTTTTTCTCTCTCTATGCCAGGAGTTAGAGATCTCTCTCCTCCATTCATAAACAGAGAAAAAAAAAAAGGGGGCGGATCACTGTGACAGCCAATCAGAGGCTATCACAGCGATCATGTGACCCGGAATCGGGAGTCCCTGGTCCCACTCTTTGTGCTTTATTTTATTCTCCTATTTTATATTCTATTCTATTGTTCTTTATTCTATTCTTTTCTATTCTATTCGAAATTATTCTACTCGAAATTCGAATTTCAGAAGACAGTTATTTTCTGTTTTATTCTATTCTATTCTTTTTTTTATTTTATTCTCTTCTTTTCTATTCTTTTATTCTATTCTTTTTCTATTCGAATTCAAATTTATTCTATTCAAATTTCGGAAGACCATTATATTCTATTCTACTGTTTTTCTATTATTGTCAATTATTTTCTATTTTATTCTATTCTGATCTAGTCTATTCTTTCATACTGTATTCTATTAGAATTTGCATTCAAATTCTAATTTATTCTTTTTGAAATTTGAAAGATCGTTATATTCTTTCTATTCTATTGGTTTTTCTATTCTATTCTATTCTTTTCTATTCTCTTATTTATATTCTTTTCTACTCTTGTTTTTTATTCTATTCTTTTCTATTTTATTCGAATTTATTCTATTTGAAAATTTAAATTTCGGAAGAAAGTTATATTCTATTTTATTCTATTGTTTTTCTATTCTATTCACTTATTTTCTATTATATTTTCTATTCTATTCTAATCTTTTATACTGTATTCTACTCTATTCTATTTAATACTGTTTTTTTTCGTTTCTATTCTATTCGTAATTCGAAAGACAGTTATTTTCTATTCTATTCATTTTATATTCTAATCTGGTCTATTTTTTTATACTGTATTCTATTTAATTCTACTGTTTTTCTTTTCTATTCTATTATTTTATTGTCTATTCTATTCTTTTCTGTTCTTTTATGTTATACTCAATTCTTTTTGTATTTGAATTCGAATCAAATTTCATCCGAATTTCATTTCATTATTTCAGATTCATTACTATTGTAAAAATTCAGAGACATGCGAATGTGATGGGAGTGACTTTTGGGGGTGGGGAGACCCCTGTCTCAGCTCCCCATATTCCTATTATGTGTAAGTCACCCTGTGCCTGTTAGGGGTACAGGGTGGAATGTTCTAATATTGGGGTGGGGGTTGTTCATTGTTCACTGCCATGTGGCTGCATCCCATTGTTCTATTGTGTGTCTTGCTTGGGAGCAAACTATTATGGCATGCAATATTTCCTGCAGCCCTTCCCCTTGATGGGACAGCCTGCTGATGTGTTTCCTGTCTGGGTGTGTATTTCCCGCCCTGTGTATATATCTTGTATCTATGTTAAAATAAAGCAGTCCATTTCCTGTTTTAATACAAGTCTGGTATGGTCAGCGGTGGTGTCCGTGGATCTGTGTTCGGACAGGAAAGCTGGAGTCTAACAGACATACCCTAGTGCAGTCGGGGTCCGGTTCTGTTACACTGAATAACAAAAAATTTGTCCAAATTCGGAACGAAACAAACCGCACATATATACTGAATAAGCAGTTTTTTATTTCAATCCTAATACTTCCATATACTCAGCATTTCATGTTCCCAGCGTAACATAATGACTTTCAATTTGTAAAACTACTCCATGCTGAATCTTTTTTTTAATTTTTTTGAACATTTCCAATTTTTCCAAAAAACAAAAAAAACAAGGGAATAAAACCCCCTTTTCCCCCCCATGCCTTCAACGTTTCTGCAAATTCTGCATCTCTAGTCACAAGCAACCTTCCCACCAGCAGAGCAGAGTAATGCAGGCCATACATGGTTCGAATTCCAAATGATTTTCGTACGAAAATCAGACCTAAGAATAATTGGCCGTTGTTAGTGGGGCAATGGCATCGGCCGATTTTTGTGGTTCCTCCCCATTTCGTCTATCGAGTATGCTGGAAAATTTGTGAAAAACTACCAATTTTCAAAATCATTGGTGGCCCCATCGGATTACAGAACTAACGAGGTTTCGATTTTCGGATGACGAATTGTTTGGAATTTGAACCATGTACAGTTGTGTTCAAAATAAATATCAGTCTGTTGAAAAAAGTGAATAAAGCTGAAAATCCTTCTAATAGCTTTTATTTCCATCCACACAAATGCATTGGGAACACGACACATTCTATTCCAAATCACAACATGAAGAAAAATACATCAAATTTGTGTCGTTCCTCTAAAAAAATGGAAAAAAAAAGTGAATATTAGGCGGTTCAAAAAAATGGCCGTGTTTGTATTCTTCTTTACAAACTCAAACATTCACTATATAAACTGAGAAATGTTTGAAGATTTTGCTTTCCTTTGAATGACTTCATGAATATTTTGGTTGTAGTCGCACTGTTTCTGAGAACTGCTGTACATCTGTGTTGCATGGAGTCCCCCAACTTCTGGCCCCTGTGATCAGGTATTCCAGCCCAGGATGATTGGACCACATTCCACAGTTCTTCTCTATTTCTTGGTTTGGCCTCAGAAACGGCATTTTTGATGTCACCCCACAAGTTTCTATTGGATGAAGATCCGGGGATTGGGCGGGCCACTCCATAACGTCCATCTTGTTGGTCTGGAACCAAGATGTTGCACGTTTACTGGTGTGTTTGGGGTCGTTGTCTTGTTGGAACACCCATTTCAAGGGCATTTCCTCTTCAGCATAAGGCAGCATGACCTCTTCAAGTATTCTGATGGATTCAAACTGATCCATGATCCCTGGTATGCGATAAATAGGCCCAACACCGTAGTATGAGAAACATCCCCATATCATGATGCTTGCACCACCATGCTTCACGGTCTTCACAGTGTACTGTGGCTTGAATTCAGTGTTTGGGGGTCGTCTGACAAACTGTCTCCGCCCACTAGACCCAAAAAGAACAATCTTACTTTCATCAGTCCACAAAATGTTGGGCCATTTCTCTTTAGGCCGGTCAATGTGCTCTTTGGCAGATTGTAACCTCTTCAGCACGTCTTTTTCCCAACAGTGGGACTTTGCGGGGACTTCTTGCAGATAGCTTGGCTTCACATCGGCGTCTTCTAATTGTAACAGTCCTCACAGGGAACGTCACACCTTCTGTCATCTTCCTGGAGCTGATTGTTGGCTGAGTCCTCACAGGGAACGTCACACCTTCTGTCATCTTCCTGGAGCTGATTGTTGGCTGAGTCCGCCCCATTTTGGCTATTCTTCTATCCATTCCAATGGTAGTTTTTCGCTTTCTTCCACATCTTTCAGGTTTTGGTTGCCATTTTAAAGCATTTGCCATCATTTTAGCTGAGCAGCCGATCATTTTCTGCACTTCTTTATATGTTTTCCCCTCCAATCAACTTTTTAATCGCGGTACGCTGTTCTTCTGAACAATGTCTGGAACGACCCATTTTCCTCAGAATTTCAGAGAGAAATGCACTGTAACCAGCATGTACAACATTTGCTGCCTTCCTTCCTTAAATAAGGGCATAGTTGCCACCTGTTTATCAAAGAATGAATGACGTCACTAATAGAACTCCACACGGCTATTATGTTGAACACGCCCCTTTCAATGAGTGATTCAATGACACAGAATCAGCAGCATGCATGTCATGACTGTCGGGTCTGTTGGATTTCTATGACTCTACTACACCTGCTAGGAAATTATCTGCCATGTAGAAATATCATTTCTACCAAAAACAGTGATTGATCCGGTTAGTGATGTCTGACTGCTAGTATTTTCAACACAACTGTATGGCCCACCTTGACGTAAACTCTTCTGGCAACAGAAAAAAATGCTAAACGCAGCAAAAAACACATGAAACCGTGACACCGTGTTTAGCACTTGGTCGTCTGTCACGGACTGCCAGTGCCTCTCCCATCCCCCGCCATATCCCTCCACCCCTCCCTTCCCCCTTGTACATTAGAAGGTCTGTGGGGCTTCCATGGACAGGGCTGGGCCAGCCGTCGCCGAGGCAACCTAGCCGCGTCCCACATGATCTTCAAGAGACCCACACAGGAAGCAGCCTTCCCCTTTTTTTTCCTGGCCATGCGGCTAGAATCTTCTTGCTCCCAGAAAGATGTTGGGAGGCTCGGGTGAGGGGGACCGAGCCTCCCCAGCCATCCCCCCTGCGCACTCTGCAGACCCCCAAAAGGTCAGGACTGTAGCCCTCTGCAATACCCCAGGGTTGGGAGTCTCCACAGCTCTGCATGAGCCTTCTCCTCAAAGGTCAGACTCCACAGCTGAGACCCTGCCAGTCCGTAAGCCTGTCTACTGGGCACCCTGTCTGCTGCTGAGTGCCCTGGGAGCTGCTGCTGTCTGCTGATCGCTGGTTGTCCGTGGAACGCTGACCGCTGGTCGTCCCTGTCTGGAGCCGCCTGCCGCTGAGGGTCTGCAAGATGCTTACCGTGAGTGTCCTGAATTGTCCCCACTGTGTGCACCGACCACCTGTGTCCTGAATTGTCCCCGCTGTGTGCACCGACCACCTGTGTCCTGAATTGTCCCCGCTGTGTGCACCGACCACCTGTGTCCTGAATTGTCCCCGCTGTGTGCACCGACCACCTGTGTCCTGAATTGTCCCCGCTGTGTGCACCGACCACCTGTGTCCTGAATTGTCCCCGCTGTGTGCACCGACCACCTGTGTCCTGAATTGTCCCCGCTGTGTGCACCGACCACCTGTGTCCTGAATTGTCCCCGCTGTGTGTACCGACCACCTGTGTCCTGAATTGTCCCCCGCTGTGTGCACCGACCACCTGTGTCCTGAATTGTCCCCGCTGTGTGCACCGACCACCTGTGTCCTGAATTGTCCCCGCTGTGTGTGTACCGACCACCTGTGTCCTGAATTGTCCCCGCTGTGTGTACCGACCACCTGTGTCCTGAATTGTCCCCCGCTGTGTGTACCGACCACTCATGTCCTGAACTGTCCCTGTTGTGCGCACTGACCACCCGTGTCCTGAACTGTCCCTGTTGTGCGCACTGACCACCCATGTCCTGAACTGTCCCCACTGTGAGCACTGACCACCCGTGTCCTGAACTGTTCCTGTTGTGTGCACTGACCAGCCTTGTTCCGAACCACCCCGCTGTGTGCACTGACCACCCGTGTCCTGATGGCATGCCCGGAGTATAGCTACCTGTGGTGCCCCTGAGTGCTTGAGCCATCGCTACCTGTTGAGTCCCTGTGAAACCAATGACCCTAGAAAGCTGGGTGGGAGCTGTGCTGTGGCCAGTCTCCACAGCTAGAGTCCCGTTGAGTCCCCGAGGCCCCTGCCCAGTGGTAGGTTGCCGTCTGTTGCCCGAGGCCCCTGCCCAGTGGTAGGTTGCCGTCTGTTGCCCGAGGCCCCTGCCCAGTGGTAGGTTGCCGCATGTTGCCTGAGGCCCCTGCCCAGTGGTAGCTTGCCGCCCGAAGCCCCTGCCCAGTGGTAGGTTGCCGTCTGTTGCCCGAGGCCCCTGCCCAGTGGTAGGTTGCCGTCTGTTGCCCGAGGCCCCTGCCCAGTGGTAGGTTGCCGCATGTTGCCTGAGGCCCCTGCCCAGTGGTAGGTTGCCGCATGTTGCCCGAGGCCCCTGCCCAGTGGTAGGTTGCCGTCTGTTGCCCGAGGCCCCTGCCCAGTGGTAGGTTGCCGCCTGTTGCCCGAAGCCCCTGCCCAGTGGTAGGTTGCCGTCTGTTGCCCGAGGCCCCTGCCCAGTGGTAGCTTGCCGCCCGAATCCCCTGCCCAGTGGTAGGTTGCCGTCTGTTGCCCGAGGCCCCTGCCCAGTGGTAGGTTGCTGTCTGTTGCCCGAGGCCCCTGCCCAGTGGTAGGTTGCCCCATGTTGCCCGAGGCCCCTGCCCAGTGGTAGGTTGCCGCATGTTGCCCGAGGCCCCTGCCCAGTGGTAGGTTGCTGTCTGTTGCCCGAGGCCCCTGCCCAGTGGTAGGTTGCCGCATGTTGCCCGAGGCCCCTGCCCAGTGGTAGGTTGCCGCATGTTGCCCGAGGCCCCTGCCCAGTGGTAGGTTGCCGTCTGTTGCCCGAGGCCCCTGCCCAGTGGTAGGTTGCCGCCTGTTGCCCGAAGCCCCTGCCCAGTGGTAGGTTGCCGTCTGTTGCCCGAGGCCCCTGCCCAGTGGTAGGTTGCCGTCTGTTGCCCGAGGCCCCTGCCCAGTGGTAGGTTGCCCCATGTTGCCCGAGGCCCCTGCCCAGTGGTAGGTTGCCGCATGTTGCCCGAGGCCCCTGCCCAGTGGTAGGTTGCCGTCTGTTGCCCGAGGCCCCTGCCCAGTGGTAGGTTGCCGCATGTTGCCTGAGGCCCCTGCCCATTGGTAGGTTGCCGCATGTTGCCCGAGGCCCCTGCCCAGTGGTAGGTTGCCGTCTGTTGCCCGAGGCCCCTGCCCAGTGGTAGGTTGCCGCCTGTTGCCCGAAGCCCCTGCCCAGTGGTAGGTTGCCGTCTGTTGCCCGAGGCCCCTGCCCAGTGGTAGCTTGCCGCCCGAAGCCCCTGCCCAGTGGTAGGTTGCCGTCTGTTGCCCGAGGCCCCTGCCCAGTGGTAGGTTGCCGTCTGTTGCCCGAGGCCCCTGCCCAGTGGTAGGTTGCCCCATGTTGCCCGAGGCCCCTGCCCAGTGGTAGGTTGCCGCATGTTGCCCGAGGCCCCTGCCCAGTGGTAGGTTGCCGTCTGTTGCCCGAGGCCCCTGCCCAGTGGTAGGTTGCCGCATGTTGCCCGAGGCCCCTGCCCAGTGGTAGCTTGCCGTCTGTTGCCCGAGGCCCCTGCTCACTGGTAGGTTGCCGTCTGTTGCCCAAGTCTCCTGCCCAGTGGTAGGTTGACGTCTGTTGCCCGAGGCCCCTGCCCAGTGGTAGGTTGCCGTCTGTTGCCCGAGGCCCCTGCCCAGTGGTAGGTTGCCACATGTTGCCCGAGGCCCCTGCCCAGTGGTAGGTTGCCGCATGTTGCCCGAGGCCCCTGCCCAGTGGTAGGTTGCCGCCTGTTGCCCGAAGTCCCTGCCCAGTGGTAGGTTGCCACCTGTTGCCCGAGGCCCCTGCCCAGTGGTAGGTTGCCACCTGTTGCCCGAGTCTCCAATCCGCTGTCCAGTCACGGAGGGAACTCGGCTGAGGCCCCAAGCCTAGGGGGGAAATTGCCTGCCTGACGCTGAAGACCCCCCGTGCCTGGAATCGTCCCTGGTTTGCGCACACATCACCCTCCCTGCCATTTCCCTATTGAGTGTCTGTCAATTTGTTGCTTCAATAAAGTTTTGCGTGTTCCCCATCTTCCCCGTGTGCTCTGTCCTGCCTATGCTCCCGTTACATCGTCCATTTATTTAATCGGCCAGGGTCCTTGCCATTGACATGAATAAATGCTGAAGCGTCAAACGCGTTCAGCATTTGTCAGCACGTTCTACTTCTGAACGTGAATCTTCTGCGTTCGGGAGAGGAACGTTCAACTACCTCTAAACTCTGGTGAAGGCCTACATCTGCCTGTGCATGGTGGACACATAGGCTTTTACTGAGTTGAGTTCAGAGGCTCAACCCCAAAACGCCAAAAGCGCCTAAACTCACATTTAGGATCAGAAGTGTCCATGAGGCCTTAGGCAGAAACACTGGACCATCAGATTGGGTCTTCTGAACATTTTCCGAGAGGCCTTCACTCTCTCGTTGGCCAAGTAATGGAGAATGCTAGAGTGTGGCACCAGTAAAGCTTAGTGAAGTTTCCATGGCAACCGGTTTGAAAATCTCTAGCTTGGAACGGTTACCAGCAGTTAAGTTGTTCGTCAATCAGGCCGAGAGACAATCGATGAAGACTTAATCCCTGTGACATCAACCTGCTCATCCCTAACACAGCCGGACTAATAGACGCTTCTAGGAGCAGCAGTGTCCATGAGGCCTTAGGCAGAAATGTTGAACCATCAGATTGGGTCTTCTGAACATTTTCCGAGAGGCATTCACACTCTCTCTCGCGTTGACCAAGTTCTCAGGACATTCAGAGATGGAGAATGCTAGAGCGTGGCACCAGTAAAGCTCGGTAAAGTTTCCATGGCAACCGGTTTGATGGCATCCCTCGGAGAACATCTTTAGCGAGGAACGGTTACCAGCAGTTAAGTTGTTCGTCAACCAGGAGAGGCTGAGAGACGAACGATGAAGACTTAATTCCCTGTGACATCAACCTGCTCATCTCTAACACAGCCGGAGGTTCTAATAGACGCTTCTCCAGTATTCGCCCATCACTCATCCATTCCTTCACGGTGGATTGCCGTCACCGGTCATATACGCGATTCTCCCTTTCTTCAGTTATTAAAAATAGGTGATATAATAATGGAAACACTTAACACTTTTACTACCAGAACCCATTTTGCATGTTTTTTTTTTCCAGTTTTCCATTTTGTTTTGTCAAAACATTCTACTTCTGAAAGTGAATCTTCTGTGTTTTGGGAGAGGAACATTCAACTTCCTCTAAACTCTGGTGAAGGCCTACATCTGCCTGTGCATGGTGGACACATAGCCTTTTACTGAGTTGAGTTCAGAGGCTTTGCCTACAAAAAAACCCCCAAAGCGCCAAAACCTCCTAAATTCACGTTTAGGAGCAGCAGTGTCCATGAGGCCTTAGGCAGAACCGTTGGACCATCAGATTGAGTCTTCTGAACATTTACCGAGTGGCTTTCACTCTCTCATTGGCCAAGTTCTCAGGACATTCAGAGATGGAGAATTCTAGAGCGTGGCACCAGTAAAGCTCGGTGAAGTTTCCATGGCAACCGGTTTGACGGCTCCCTCGGAGAACGTCTTTAGCGAGGAACGGTTACCAGCAGTTAAGTTGTTCGTCAATCAGGACGGGCTGAGAGACGAACGATGAAGACTTAATTCCCTGTGACATCAACCTGCTCATCTCTAAACACAGCCGGAGGTTCTAATAGACGCTTCTAGGAGCAGCAGTGTCCATGAGGCCTTAGGCAGAACCGTTGGACCATCAGATTGGGTCTTCTGAACATTTACCGAGAGGCCTTCACTCTCTCGTTGGCCAAGTTCTCAGGACATTCAGAGATGGAGAATGCTAGAGCGTGGCACCAGTAAAGCTCGGTGAAGTTTCCATGGCAACCAGTTTGACAGCTCCCTCAGAGAACGTCTTTAGCGAGGAACGGCTACCAGCAGTTAAGTTGTTCGTCAATCAGGACGGGTTGAGAGACGAATGATGAAGACTTAATTCCCTGTAACATCAACCTGCTCATCTCTAACACAGCCGGAGGTTCTAATAGACGCTTCTCCGGTATTTGCCCATCACTCATCCATTCCTTCACGGTTGAGGCCTTAGACAGAAATGTTGGACCATCAGATTGGGTCTTCTGAACATTTACCGAGTGGCCTTCACTCTATCGTTGGCCAAGTTCTCAGGACATTCAGAGATGGAGAATGCTAGAACACGGCACCAGTAAAGCTCGGTGAAGTTTCCATGGCAACCGGTTTGACAGCTCCCTCGGAGAACATCTTTAGCGAGGAACGGTTACCAGCAGTTAAGTTGTTCGTCAATCAGGACGGGCTGAGAGACGAATGATGAAGACTTAATTCCCTGTGACATCAACCTGCTCATCTCTAACACAGCCAGAGGTTCTAATAGACGCTTCTAGGAGCAGCAGTGTCCATGAGGCCTTAGGCAGAACCGTTGGACCATCAGATTGGGTCTTCTGAACATTTTCCGAGAGGCCTTCACTCTCTCGTTGGCCAAGTTCTCAGGACATTCAGAAATGGAGAATGCTAGAGCGTGGCACCAGTAAAGCTCGGTGAAGTTTCCATGGCAACCAGTTTGACAGCTCCCTCAGAGAACGTCTTTAGCGAGGAACGGTTACCAGCAGTTAAGTTGTTCGTCAATCAGGATGGGCTGAGAGACGAATGATGAAGACTTAATTCCCTGTAACATCAACCTGCTCATCTCTAACACAGCCGGAGGTTCTAATAGACGCTTCTCCGGTATTCGCCCATCACTCATCCATTCCTTCACGGTGGATTGCCGTCACCGGTCATATACGCGATTCTCCCTTTCTTCAGTTATTAAAAATAGGTGATATAATAATGGAAACACTTAACACTTTTACTGCCAGAACCCGTTTCGTGTGGCTTTTTTTTTCACACGTTTCACAGGGCTTCTTCCAGCGGGAATGAAGTTCCGGCACCTCCAGCACTGGATGTATGTAATGGCAAGGGGTGCTGGAGGGACTATTGATGCTGGCAGCTAGGGGATCTATTGTTGCTGGAGGGGATCTATTTTTGAGTGTGGATCTATTGTTGCTGGAGGGGGTCTAATTTTGAGTGTGGACCTATTGTTGCTGGAGGGGATCTATTTTTGAGTGGGGGATCTATTCTTGCTGGAGGGGATCTATTTTTGAGTGTGGACCTATTATTGCTGGAGGGGATCTATTTTTGAGTGGGGGATCTATTCTTGCTGGAGGGGATCTATTTTTGAGTGGGGGATCTATTCTTGCTGGAGGGGATCTATTTTTGAGTGTGGACCTATTGTTGCTGGAGGGGATCTATTTTTGAGTGGGGGATCTATTGTTGCTGGAGGGGATCTATTTTTGAGTGGGGGATCTATTCTTGCTGGAGGGGATCGAATTTTGAGTGTGGACCTATTGTTGCTGGAGGGGATCTATTTTCGAGTGGGGGATCTATTCTTGCTGGAGGGGATCTATTTTCGAGTGGGGATCTATTGTCGCTGGGTGGGATCTATGCTTGAGTGGGGATCTATTGTTGCTGGAGGGGATCTGTTTTTTTAATTGGGGATCTATCGTTGCTGGTGGGGGTTCTTTTGTTGTTAGAGGGCATCTTATGTTTCGGGGGGGTCATTTGTTTCTGGGAAATAACTACTGTTGAGGGAGGGGTTCTATTATTGCTGGCTGCTAGAGGGTATGGAGATCTGTTGCTGCCGGGGATCTATTGTTTCCCGGGGGGTCTATTGTTGCCGGGGGGGGTCTATTGTTGCCAGGGGGCACTGGATGTATGTAATGGCAAGGTGTGTTGTGGGGGGGGTTGGAGGGTCTACCTAGCGGTACAGTTAAACAGCGCACAGTTAACCCTTTGATCGCCCCTCACGTTAACCCCTACCTGCCCAGTGCCATTAGTACAGTGTCGGGGCTTTTTATTAGCACTGATCACTGTATTGGTGTCACTGGGGATGTCAGTGACATCAAGTCAGTCCCCCCCCCCGGTGTCAGAATCGCCGCCACAGTCCCGCCATAAGTCACCGATCGCCGCCATTACTAGTATAAAAAAAAAAAATATCCCAGTATCTTTCCCGCCATTTGTAAACGCTACAACTTTCACGTAAACCGATTCATTTACACGTATCTGGATTGGGGTTTTTTTAGCGAAGACACGGATCAGAATATATTTTGCCCTAAATTTATGACAAAATTAGATTTTTTTAATTTTTCCAATAGACACGTTTAATAGCAAAAAATCCAAAATAGTTTTTTTTTCCTCAAAATAAAAACAAAAACACACAGGGGATCAAATACCGCCTCTCATCTCTGTGCTGCCCGGAGTTCAGCTTTGTCGGAGGAGTCCGGAATTGTGTGCGGAAAGATATGGAGGAAATTCTGCAAATTTCTCATATCGTATTCTGATTCCTAATCGCAATTTTTTTTTTAGGAAGGTGCCACCCTCCGGAATGGAATGTTCCGGGAGGTGAGGGGGAGGGGCAGAGCCAGGAAACAAAAATAAATGCAGGAAAGGGTATACCCGGGGCCGGGCGGGGTTAGATACAATGTGACGGGATTGTGAAGACGAGGAAATTAAACGGGAATCGTATTATTGCAGAAATCAGGTCTGCATTGTTGGACCAATGAGATCACTGCAGGGGGGGGAGGGATGGGTCACTCAACAGGACAATGTTTGATTAAAGCTCCACTCTGGGCAAAACATTAACCCCGCCCCTTTTGACCCATCCTTCACGGATGTTCGTTGTTTTTCACTTGTGGATATCGACTCACCGAAGTCTCCTGTCCACAAATCACAGGAGCCACCAAGGAATCCAAAACAAATGATAGCGAAACAACTGATCCAAATTCCAAAATGAATCGGAATCCCAGATGGAAACCTACTGCAATCAGCACGGCGAGGTACAAAAGTACGATGATTCCTGCTTAGGCAGCTTTACAGAATAGAATAGAACAGAAGAATAGAATAGAACAGAAGAGAGTAAAACAGAATAGAATAGAATAGAATGGAATATAAAAGAATAAAATAGAAAAGAATAGAATGGAATATAAAAGAATAAAATCAAAAAGAATAGAGTGTCATAAAACAGAATAAAATAGAATCTAAAAGAAGAATAGAATAGAAGAAGAGTAGAATATAAGCGTTTCTGAGTGCGGGGGGGGGGGGATTCGCTGTGTGGGGGGGGGGATTCGCTGTGTGTGGGGGGGGGGGGTCGCTGTGTGGGGGGGGGGGTCGCTGTGCTGTGGGGGTTGCTGTGCCAGCACCTCAGGTCTCTCTCCGGCTGGTCCTCTCGGATGTCACTCCTCCCCTGGATCCCGAAGGACAGCCTGTAGCCCAAGAAGACGTAGATGTGAGGTGCTGGACCCGTCACGTGACTGGTGACGGTACAACGTGATTGGCCAGGCAACTCTACAACAGGCTGGGGGGTCCTCTAGAAATTTGGGGGCTGTGCAGATTGCCGCCACGTGAACCAGGTCCTCCAATTCTCCTCCAAGGGTGGAACAGACTGCAGCCACGTGAACCAGGTCCTCCAATTCTCCGCCAAGGGTGGAACAGACTGCCGCCACGTGAACCAGGTCCTTCAATTCTCCTCCAAGGGTGAACAGAACTGCAGCCACGTGAACCAGGTCCTCCAATTCTCCGCCAAGGGTGGAACAGACTGCCGCCACGTGAACCAGGTCCTCCAATTCTCCTCCAAGGGTGGAACAGACTGCCGCCACGTGAACCAGGTCCTTCAATTCTCCTCCAAGGGTGGAACAGACTGCCGCCACGTGAACCAGATCCTCCAATTCTCCTCAAAGGACAGGACAGACTGCCACCATGTGAACCAGGTCCTCCAATTCTCCTCCAAGGGTGGAACAGACTGCCGCCACGTGAACCAGGTCCTCCAATTCTCCTCCAAGGGTGGAACAGACTGCCGCCACGTGAACCAGGTCCTCCAATTCTCCTCCAAGGGTGGAACAGAATGCAGCCACGTGAACCAGATCCTCCAATTCTCCTCCAAGGGTGGAACAGAATGCAGCCACGTGAACCAGATCCTCCAATTCTCCTCCAAGGACAGAACAGACTTCCGCCACGTGAACTATTTCCTCCAATGGCAAAATAGACTGCTGCCACGTGAACCAGGTCCTCCAATTCTCCTCCAAGGGTGGCACAGACTGCCGCCACGTGAACCAGGTCCTCCAATTCTCCTCCAAGGGTGGCACAGACTGCCGCCACGTGAACCAGGTCCTCCAATTCTCCTCCAAGGGTGGCACAGACTGCTGCCACGCAAACTATTTCCTCCAATGGCAAAATAGACTGCTGCCACGTGAACCAGATCCTCCAATTCTCCTCCAAGGAAAGTGAGGGGAAACCTTCGAATGGGGACACCTGTGCTGGAGACTATACTTGGATTTCATCTCATTTCCTGTTGCTTCTCCAGAATCAGGAAGTAAAGGGGACCCTCAGTCCCCAATGTGACCAGCCCTCCCCCCCCCCCCTCTCCATATCAGAACTGTCTCTGGGTGGTACAATCCTCTCACGAGAAAACCCCGCCCCCTCTCCTACAGACAGACCTCGCCGCCGGAAGTGACATTAACAACAGAACTGGGTGTGAAGGATGTGCCGGATGTGACGTTTAATGAGATCAGTGAGTGATGGAAGGAAGGATAGACCGGAAGTACCAAGCGGCAGATAAGCGATTGGCTAGACCGGAAGTGGCTGTTGCCTACCGGAAGTGACGCGGTTGTCAGGAAGCTGAGGTTCTCCTCACGTGTGTGTAGTTATGGCGGGTCTGGAGCTGCTTTCCGATCAGGGGTTCCGGCAGGACGGGAGGAGGCCCGTGGAGCTCCGGAAGATCCAGTGCCGGATGGGGGTTTTCGATCAGGCGGACGGATCGGCCTACGTAGAGCAGGGGAACACCAAGGCGCTGGCCACCGTGTACGGGCCGCATGAGGTGAGTACCCACGTGGGGGATGGGTGAGGAATGTAAGGACGCCCCATCGTTTGATGGAAATGATCGACCTACAGAGGACAGAATTCACAGACACCCCGAAAATCAAAGTGAAGAAATGATGCAGCAGGCGAGTCCATGTTGGTGAAATGTCATTGCAGCAACTCAGAATGGTCCTCAGTAGTCTGTGTGGCCCCCACGTGCTTGTATGCATGCCTGACAACGTCGGGGGGGAGGGTCCTAATGAGACCACGGATGGTGTCCTGGGGGATTTCCTCCCAGATCTGGACCATCACTGGACAGTCTGAGGTGCAACCTGGCAGCGTCAGATGGCCCGACACATGACATCCCAGAGGGGTTCTATTGGATTTAGGTCAGGGGAGCGTGGGGGCCATTCAGTGGTATCAATTCCTTCATCCTCCAGGAACTGCCTGCATACTCTCCTCACATGAGGCCGGGCGTGTACACAGGCGGGTTGGGGGAAGCCCCCGCTGTCTGATTGGCTGCCCACTTGGACATCTTCCAGACGGGTTCAGAGTCGTGTCCTACCACACCTGAGCTGATCCTTGGTGGGGGGACAAGGTCATAGGGGAAGCAGGAGGCCCCTCATGGGTGGTCACTGCATGTGCTTGCCGGGAGGGTTGTCACTCCTACATGATTGGATACACAGAATATAACTGGATATAACATTTATAGGGAACGTTGATCCAGGGAATATCCGATTGCCTCTCGGGGGGGTCAGGAAGGAATTGTTTCCCCTGCAGGAGCAGATTGGATCGTGCTTTGCTGGGTTTTTTGCCTTTTTCTGGATACACTGTGGGTGTAGGATTAATACTTTTATTTTTTTTTGGTTGATCTGGATGGGCGTTTGTAAGCCAGACTAACTGTAACTCTGATTGGAATCTAGATATGAAATCTGATCTGTTTTTTTCTCTCCCCCCCCCCCCATCCTGTAGATCCGCGGCTCTCGCAGTAAGACCCTCCATGACCGGGCGGTGGTGAACTGCCAGTACAGCATGGCCACCTTCAGCACGGCGGAGAGGAAGCGCCGCCCCCCACGGGGACCGCAAGTCCACCGAGATGACCATACACCTGAAGCAAACCTTCGAGGCGGCCATCCTCACCCAGCAGTACCCCCGCGCTCTCAGATCGACATCTACGTACAGGTGAGTGCGGAGGAGGAGGCCCCCTTTAACCCTTTCCCTGCTGGAGGAGGAGGCCCCCCCTTTAACCCTTTCCCTGCTGGAGGGGGGGAGGGAGGCGGCGGCGGCCCCCCTTTAATCCTTTCCCTGCTGGAGGGGGGGAGGAGGAGGAGGCCCCCCTTTAACCCTTTCCCTGCTGGAGGGGGTAGGCCCCCTTTAACCCTTTCCCTGCTGGAGGGGGTAGGCCCCCTTTAACCCTTTCCCTGCTGGAGGGGGTAGGCCCCCTTTAACCCTTTCCCTTCCCTGCTGGAGGGGGTAGGCCCCCCTTTAACCCTTTCCCTGCTGGAGGGAGGAGGAGGAGGCCCCCTTTAACCCTTTCCTTGCTGGAGGAGGCCCCCTTTAACCCTTTCCCTGCTGGAGGAGGCCCCCTTTAACCCTTTCCCTGCTGGAGGAGGCCCCCTTTAAACCCTTTCCCTGCTGGAGGAGGCCCCCTTTAACCCTTTCCCCTGCCCCCTTTACCCTGGAGGAGGCCCCCTTTAACCCTTTCCCTGCTGGAGGAGGCGGCCCCCCTTTAAACCCTTTCCCTGCTGGAGGAGGGGGGGGGGGAGGAGGCCCCCTTTAACCCTTTCCCTGCTGGAGGAGGGGGGGGGGGAGGAGGAGGAGGCCCCCTTTAACCCTTTCCCTGCTGGAGGAGGAGGGCCCCCCTTTAACCCTTTCCCTGCTGGAGGAGGGGGGGGGGGAGGAGGAGGAGGCCCCCTTTAACCCTTTCCCTGCTGGAGGAGGGGGGGAGGAGGCCCCCTTTAACCCTTTCCCTGCTGGAGGAGGGGGGGGAGGAGGAGGAGGCCCCCTTTAACCCTTTCCCTGCTGGAGGAGGGGGGGAGGAGGAGGAGGCCCCCTTTAAACCCTTTCCCTGCTGGAGGAGGCGGCCCCCCCTTTAAACCCTTTCCCTGCTGGAGGAGGAGGCCCCCCCTTTAACCCTTTCCCTGCTGGAGGAGGCGGCCCCCCCTTTAAAACCCTTTCCCTGCTGGAGGGGGGGGAGGAGGCGGCGACGGCCCCCTTTAACATGTAAAAAAACCCTTTCCCTGCTGGAGGAGGCCCCCCTTTAACCCTTTCCCTGCTGGAGGAGGCCCCCCTTTAACCCTTTCCCTGCTGGAGGAGGCCCCCCCTTTAACCCTTTCCCTGCTGGAGGAGGCGGCGGCCCCCCCTTTAACCCTTTCCCTGCTGGAGGAGGCCCCCCCCCTTTAACCCTTTCCCTGCTGGAGGGGGGGGAGGAGGCGGCGGCCCCCTTTAAACCCTTTCCCTGCTGGAGGGGGGAGGAGGAGGAGGAGGCCCCCTTTAACCCTTTCCCTGCTGGAGGAGGCCCCCCTTTAACCCTTTCCCTGCTGGAGGGGGGGAGGAGGAGGAGGCCCCCTTTAACCCTTTCCCTGCTGGAGGAGGAGGCTCCCTTTAACCCTTTCCCTGCTGGAGGGGGGGGGAGGAGGAGGAGGAGGCCCCCTTTAAACCCTTTCCCTGCTGGAGGAGGAGGCTCCCTTTAACCCTTTCCCTGCTGGAGGGGGGGCGCCGCGGGCGGCGGCCCCCTTTAACCCTTTCCCTGCTGGAGGGGGGGGAGAGGAGGCGGCCCCCTTTAACCCTTTCCCTGCTGGAGGGGGGGGGGGAGGAGGAGGCCCCCCTTTACCCCTTTCCCTGCTGGAGGGGGGAGGCCCCCCTTTCCCTACTGGAGGGGGGAGGCCCCCCTTTCCCTACTGGAGGGGGGAGGCCCCCCATTAATCCTTTCCCTGCTGGAGGAGGAGGAGGAGGCCCCCTTTAAACCCTTTCCCTGCTGGAGGGGGGGCACAAGGAGGGGGTGGGGAGGCAGTGTATAAACGGCCACCCGACCCTGCACTGCCATTGTCCAGCCGTTTATAGACCACGGCTGGATGGGAAGTGGTTAACTGACAATTGTGGGGGGTGATGAAGATTTTTTTTTTTTACACTGATTGCTTTTACACCCATAAAGGCTATAAAAGCAATCATTTCTCCTTCTCTCTGGCTGCATTCCTGCAGCCATTGAGAAACACTGTGAGAGCTGTGATTGGTCACAGCTGGTCACATGGTACAAGGCTGTTGTGAATGGCCCTGTACCATGTGATCTCTGTGATCATTCACAGATTTCACACGTAGTAAGCAATGATGTCCAGAGGACACAGCAGGCACTGGATCGCGGTGCTGCTCGCTCTCCCAGGGGCGGGGAGGCCGTTTCTATACATGGGAAGTGGTTAATATGTACGGAAATATGGTGGACTTCGCTTTCCATCGATTATCTCATCTTTGTCTTCCAGATCCTCCAGGCGGACGGCGGGAATTACTGCACCTCGGTGAACGCGGCCACTCTGGCGTTGATTGATGCCGGCATCCCCATGAGAGACTACGTGTGCGCGTGTTCAGCCGGGTTCATTGAGGACACGCCATTGGTGGACTTGAGTTACATCGAGGAGGCGGCCGGAGGCGCTCAGCTGGCGTTGGCTTTATTGCCGAAATCCGATAGGATAGCTCTGCTGGAAATGAACTCGCGGCTCCACGAAGATCACTTGGAGCGCGTCATGGATGCGGCCAGCAAGGCCTGTAAGGACGTATACGCCGTCCTGGACCAGGCCGTGAGGGAGCACTTACAGGAGACCACCGCACTGATGGGGACCGCGGATCGACATAACGGCCGCTGCTTGAGGAGGACGTCTGCTGGCCTCTACCAAAAACTGAACGGACGGAGTTCACACCCGTGTACGCTGAGCCGCCGTTCTGCACATGTGTGGTGTACACGCGGTATATAGGATACAGATGTTCACGGTATACACGCATGGTGGGGTGCAGAACTATGAAGCTCCATGGACACGGTGAACCGCAAAAAGGGAGATCTGCTCATTGAACACGGGAGTGATGCACCCGCATGGGAGGGAGCGCTGGTGAACAGGCAGGGGGTGGTAATCACTGGGGCCAGCAAATCCTGTAGAATGTTACCGTCCACACCTCGGCTTCCCGATTACTGGAGAAGGGGGGATGGTGCACACCCGTGCCAGGGTTCTGCGTTGTAAGGCGTCCTGGCCAGGGTTCTGCGTTGTAAGGCTGGGTCCTGGGCTCAGATCCCACCAGGGTGCTTGTGCAGGGTTGATCCCAAGGCTGCATTGTAATGCTGGGTCCTGGGCAGATCCCACCAGTAATCCTGGGCCACCAGGGTTCTGCCTTGTAATGCTGGGTCCTGGGCTCAGATCCCACCAGGGTTCTGCCTTGTAATGCTGGGTCCTGGGCTCAGATCCCACCAGGGTTCTGCTTGTAATGCTGGGTCCTGGGCTCAGATCCCACCAGGGGTGCTGCGTTGTAAGGCAGGGCCCCGGGCTCAAATCCTCCAAGGGTTCTGTATTGTAATGCTGGGTCCAGATCCCGCCAGGGTCCTGTGTTGTAACATGGTCCTATGCTCCGATTCCCCCCCCGGGTACTGCGTTGTAACGCTGGGTCCTGGGCTCGATTCCCCCCCCCCCCCCCCCCCCGGGTTCTGCGTTGTAACGCTGGGTCCTGGGCTCCGATCCCCCCCCCCCCCCCCCCCCCCCCCCCCGGGTTCTGCGTTGTAACGCTGGGTCCTGGGCTCCGATCTCGCCTGGGTTCCGTTATTCTTCATCAATGACGAAACATGTTTGGGACTGTAATCCCATTACACTCTCACTTTCCTGACAAAGCGGCGCCTTTTGTTAAAATTCAAAGCAGGTGTAACTTTCTGTCTTGTCTGGAACAATAAAGTTACACCTGAATTATATTTTACCAGCGTCCCGTCTGCTTTTTCTCTGTTGTGTTGACACTGCCATCCTGCAGGTGACATGTTCTCTGTGCTTCTCATTTCCTCCGCTGATGCTCATTGCTGGACTGTATCGGAAATGAGCTCATCCAGGACGCGGGTCACACGGTCAGCTTCAGATTGGTCGCCATCACAGAGTAAACCAACGAGTTCAGTCCGCGTGTCTCATCTGTGTATCCGTGTGCAGGGTGTGTGGGGGTGATTGTCTCTGCAGTGATGTAAGGGGTGGGTGGAGAAGGGATGTCATTGGCTGTTCCTGAAGTGGGCCAGGAGCGTGCGCGGGGGGGGGCCAGGAGCGTGGGCAGGGGGGGGGGGGCCAGGAGCGTGCGCGCTGATTTACACTGACCCGCTCACCACAGTAATCCCGGCCCGTGCGCCTCATACCTCTGGGTGCAACTATCTTGGACATTCCTCTGATTCCCTCCACCACAATATCATCACTTCAACGCACTGCAGCTTACAGCCGCACCAGCCCACCACTGCCAGCAGCAGCAGCACCCCCCCCATGCCAACAGCATCAGCAGCACCGCCCCACCACTGCCAGCAGCATTACCCTCCCATGCCAACAGCCACACCGCCCCCACCACTGCCCAGCAGCATTACCCCACCCCCCCGCATGCCAACAGCAGCAGCACCCCCCCCATGCCAACAGCAGCAGCACCCCCCCATGCCAACAGCAGCAGCACCCCCCCCCCCATGCCAACAGCAGCACCCCCCCCCATGCCAACAGCAGCACCCCCCCCCCCCCCCCCATGCCAACAGCATCAGCAGCACCGCCCCACCGCTGCCAACAGCACCCACCCCACCACTGCCAACAGCATCAGCACCCCCCCCCCCCATGCCAACAGCAGCACAACCACCCCCCCCCCATGCCCCCCCACCGCCCCACCCGCTGCCAACAGCATCAGCACCCCCCCCCCATGCCAACAGCAGCACCACCCCCCCCCCCCCATGCCAACAGCAGCACCCCCCCCCCCCCCATGCCAACAGCAGCACCCCCCCCCCCCCATGCCAACAGCAACAGCAGCACCCCCCCCCATGCCAACAGCAGCACCCCCCCCCATGCCAACAGCAGCAGCACCCCCCCCCCATGCCAACAGCATCAGCACCCACCCCCCCCCCCCATTGCCTACAGCAGCGGCACCGCCCCACCGCTGCCAACAGCATTACCCCACCCCACTACTGCCAACAGCATCAGCAGCAGCACCCCACCACTGTCAGCAGCATCAGCACCCCCCCCATGCCAACAGCCAACAGCAGCAGCACCCCCCCCCATGCCAACAGCAGCAGCACCCCCCCCCCCAGCCAACAGCACCACCCCCCCCCCCCCCATGCCAACAGCATCAGCAGCACCCCCCCCCCCCCATGCCAACAGCATCAGCAGCACCGCCCCACCACTGCCAGCAGCACCCGCCCCCCACCACTGCCTACAGCATCAGCACCCCCCCCCCCCCCCCCATGCCAACAGCAGCACCACCCCCCCCCATGCCAACAGCAGCACCACCCCCCCCCCCATGCCAACAGCAGCAGCACCCCCCCCCCCCCCCATGCCAACAGCAGCACCCCCCTCCCCCCCCATTGCCAACAGCAGCGGCACCCACCCCACCGCTGCCATTACCAGCACCCCACAGACAGCAGCACCCCACCATTGCCAGCATCAGCACCCCCCCCCCAGCCAACAGCACCCCCCCCCCCCCATGCCAACAGCAGCAGCAGCACCCCCCCCCCCCCCCATGCCAACAGCATCAGCAGCACCGCCCCACCACACACGTCTACTACCCTGCAATGCGCTCCATTCTGCTGTCTGACCTTCTCCATGTGTTGGGTTCAGGCTCCAAGCTTTCTTGCAGTAGGTCTCAGCCAGCCATAGGGTGGGATCTCCGGCATCGGCACCGATTGTGTCCCAGCTTTGGCGTGTGTGCGGGGATACGCTGCAGGGGGGCTGCCTTCAGCAGTGTGTGGGGGTCCCCAGTTGATGGCTGCACTGGGGTGTTTCCAGGCACATGCCCAGCAGAGATCTAGCCGATGGCAAACAGGAGGGGCCCTCCACTGTGACAGGAGGCCGGGTCCTCCGCCTGTATAGGAGAACCTCCCAGCACCATCCCTTGGCTCCACCCCCTACTCACCTCCGAGCACCATCCCTTGGCTCCACCCCCTACTCACCTCCGAGCACCATCCCTTGGCTCCACCCCCTACTCACCTCCGAGCACCATCCCTTGGCTCCACCCCCTACTCACCTCCGAGCACCATCCCTTGGCTCCACCCCCCACTCCCTCCGAGCACCATCCCTTGGCTCCACCCCCCCCACCAACAATGGACCCCTGCAACAAAATACCACCCCAACAACAGACCTCCCCCAGCAGCAATGAGAGAATTCCCAGCAGCCACCAGACTCACCAGCAGCAATAGAAAGGAGGGACAGATGAAGGGAAGTTACAGGAGGGCAGAGCAAGGAGTGGGGGGCAACTGTCATTGTGTGGGGGCAAAAGGTCATCAACCTGTCTGAGCAAGAACATAGCAAGTTATTAACCCCTTCCAGTCCGGACGCTTCCCCCCCCCCTCCCCCCCCTTGCAGTCCGGACGCTTCCCCCCCCCCCCCCCCCCCTCTTGCAGTCCGGACGCTTCCCCCCCCCCCCCCCCCCTCTTGCAGTCCGGACGCTTCCCCCCCCCCCCCCTCTTGCAGTCCGGACGCTTCCCCCCCCCCCCCTCTTGCAGTCCGGACGCTTCCCCTTCCCCCCCCCTCTTGCAGTCCGGACGCTTCCCCCCCCCCCCTCTTGCAGTCCGGACGCTTCCCCCCCCCGCCCCCCCCCCCCCCCCCCCTCTTGCAGTCCGGACGCTTCCCCCCCCCCCCCTCTTGCAGTCCGGACGCTTCCCCCCCCCCCCCCCCCCCTCTTGCAGTCCGGACGCTTTCCCCCCCCCCCCCCTCTCTTGCAGTCCGGACGCTTTCCCCCCCCCCCCTCTTGCAGTCCGGACGCTTCCCCCCCCCCCCCCCCTCTTGCAGTCCGGACGCTTCCCCCCCCCCCTCTTGCAGTCCGGACGCTTCCCCCCCCCCCCCCCCCCCCCTCTTGCAGTCCGGACGCTTCCCCCCCCCCCCCTCTTGCAGTCCGGACGCTTCCCCCCCCCCCCCCTCTTGCAGTCCGGACGCTTCCCCCCCCCCCCCTCTTGCAGTCCCCCCCCCCCCCCCCCCTCTTGCAGTCCGGACGCTTCCCCCCCCCCCCCCTCTTGCAGTCCGGACGCTTCCCCCCCCCCCCCTCTTGCAGTCCGGACGCCCCCCCCCCCCCCCCCTCTTGCAGTCCGGACGCTTCCCCCCCCCCCCCCTCTTGCAGTCCGGACGCTTCCCCCCCCCCCGCCCCCCCCCCCCCCCCCCCCCCCTCTTGCAGTCCGGACGCTTCCCCCCCCCCCCCTTCTTGCAGTCCGGACGCTTCCCCCCCCCCCCCCTCTTGCAGTCCGGACGCTTCCCCCCCCCCCCTCTTGCTAGTCCGGACGCTTTCCCCCCCCCCCCCCCTTCTAGTCCGGACGCTTCCCCCCCCCCCCTTCTAGTCCGGACGCTTTCCCCCCCCCCCCCCCCCCCCTTGCAGTCCGGACGCTTCCCCCCCCCCCCCCTTCTTGCAGTCCGGACGCTTCCCCCCCCCCCCCCCCCCCCTTCTAGTCCGGACGCTTCCCCCCCCCCCTCTTGCAGTCCGGACGCTTCCCCCCCCCCCCCCTCTTGCAGTCCGGACGCTTCACAAACCTCCCCCCCCCCCCCCCCCTCTAGTCCGGACGCTTCCCCCCCCCCCCCTTCTTGCAGTCCGGACGCTTCCCCCCCCCCCCCCCCTTCTTCAGTCCGGACGCTTCCCCCCCCCCCCCCCCTTCTAGTCCCGGACG